AAATTTATATCACTGATCTACCAGATGTTTCTGTTCTTTTTTTTAGAAAAGAGTTAGTCACCTAAGCAGTAAAATAAATTCCACTCAACATAATTAAAATATAGGAATAACTATATTAACCTAAAACACAGAATCCTGATATAAAGCATAATGACTTTAGAACTGCCATCACAAATTTATTAAATGTGTATGTACCAACACAAGAAATGATAAAAGAACAGGAGGGAGGGCAGACTATTGCTATCAGCTTTTAAAGACAATATGTGAAAAGACAAAATTATTCTAGATTATCAAACAATTAAATTAAAGGGCACAAAGAGAAGGGTGGTAGATGACAGATTTCTCTCCTTTTTAGTGCAGCAGAGGCAGGGAGAAAAGACACAATAACAACCAAAATTTAACTGGGATTTCAGTATACAATATAATACCACCTGACACCAGGTAATATTATACCTGATAGAGATACATAAAAATAATGAATGTGACTTTGGTCAAACTGAACTTGACTTTTATGTAGAATCCCAAATTTAAATGTCTCTTTTTATTACACAGATATTAAGATCTGAGCCAAGCAATTTGCTTTGAGAACAGAGAGATCTGTTTTTACTTCTTCATTCGGTATGAAAAAAAAAAAAAAAAACTTTGGTTATCTAACCAGCCATTTCATCCATGGCATCTATAGCAGATGGCAGCTACATGGAAATGTATGCTGGATATTTGGATAGTTTAAATATTATGTACAATCAATAGCTTACAACCAGTGAAAATAAGAACATAGTTTAAAGTATGTGTCCAAGATAAGATACAAAAAAGTGCTTGAGTCTACCGGTCTTCCCTGAAAATTTCAAAAAGGTTTAACTATTTAAGTAGGTAGGGCTTTTAGTATAATTTGCATAGCAGCTTAGTAGGTAATTTGCATTAAAAAACATGGACAGATTCTTCCATGGTTTTGAAAATATATCCATATGCATATAAATTAAACAAGAAGACCTACAGTTTCTCACAAAATTAAAAAAAATCCATCAAAAACTTTTCTCACACATTTGTCCATCAAAAATCATTTACAGTGAAACTTGTTTCTGGTAGAAACATAATCTTGTCTAGATTCCACACAGCCTAAATTTTTTATTTAAAGAATAAATTTTGGTTTATCAGCTAAGTACATTTGATCAGATGAAGAAAAGCTTTGTTACCATTCCTCTTAGGAGGATAAGTTAGGAAAGCAATCAGTAACAATGTTAGCCATCTGTTGAATAGTTTTTTGTTTTTTTTTTTAACTTACAAAAAAGTAAGAAATAATTCAGTCTCTCTTGCCATAAATAATTTTCAGTAACAGAGTTTATGAGAATTGCAGGTGATAAACACACACACTATCAGACTTTTCCTAGTCTAAAAATTACTAAACATACAGGTGAATGGAATTTAAATAATATTTTTGATTGCCTACCCATGTCCCAATATTTAATTTGAAACTCTACTAGGTAGGTGAGTTTACAGTCACAACTATCTAATAAATACTTTATAAATTTACATTTTGCATCACTTCATATAAAATATTAGATACTAATTTCCAGGTAAGGTCTGTTTAATCACTTCAGGAAAGGACAATGTTTTTAAAGAGAAAAATGGAGACTTATTTTATTTATTTTGTTCCCTTTCTTTTTATGGAAAGAAAGAAGTTTCAGGGAAAGAGGAGGAAGACTTTTTATATACAAACTGGCTGTGTATAGTCATCTGTGCGGAATGTGGAGAAAATGCCTAAGTCCCAAGTCTTGGGAGCCACATCACTCTGCAGTTTCCTTTCTATTCTACACGAGAGCCCTCAACATCCTCAATAATTTTCTTAATTCACAATGAAAAAGATGAAATTTTTAATGGTTCTATAAAGAGGTGGAATATAAAAATGCCCATTTTTAGATATTTGAAAATAACTTGCCATATTTTGGCATCTAAATACAAAATACATATATATCAAGGTGTTTCATCATAAAAAGCATTTCATTTATGATTTGAAATTCCCACAACACACTTAATGGAAACAACCTCTACTGACTATGACAAGAAAGCTGTCAAAATGTAAAACAAGCAGCTAAGGGCTCTTGCTCTTGGGGCTTGTTAGTGGACAAAATATATTTTCATTTTATATAAAACTGAAATGATTATTAAAAACTCTGTGAGCCTCAATGCTATGACAGGTTTTTGTGTGTGTCTATATATATATATATATATAAAATTTTCCCCCCTTCCATTATTAGAGATTGAACCCAGTGGTGCTTTATCATTGAGCTACATCCCCAGTCATTGATATTATTATTATTATTATTATTTTAATTTTGAGAAGGATCTCATCAAGTTGCTGAGGCTGGACTTCAACTCAAGATCCTCTTGCCTTAGCCTCCCAAGTCACTGGGATTACAGATGTGTGCTACTGTGCCTGGTCCTGTGTGGCAGTTTAAACTTGAGCAAAACGAGCTGAAATGCACAATGCCCTCTCTTTCTCTCCTGCCCAAAGCTTTGTTATAATGTTTAAGCACACCTATTTTACAGATCTTGTTGATATTAGTAATGAGCAGGGTGGCTCAAAAATTTCCTGCAGATCTCTGTGGCTTAGACTTTCACATCAACATAAAAACTTCAACCAGATGGCTTTGCTATTGACATCTGTGAATGTGTCATTCAACTTCTCACCATAACATGAACATCCAAGCTCTTACCTGAGCTTATTATTTGTTGAACTTTTGCTTCCAGAAATCAGAGATGGACCTTCAAAACATTTTCCCCCTGTCAATTACATATATCTCAGGTGGAACCATCACAGGTTTCTGAATTTTCAAAACAAAAAGCATTTGGGCTGACTACAGTGGCACATGCCTATAATCCCTGTTACTCCAGAGGCTGAGGCAAGAGGATCACAAATTCGAGTCCAGCCTGAGTAATTTAGCAAGATCCTGAATCGAAATAAAAAGGGCTGGGGATGTAGCTCAGTGGTAGAATGTTCCTAGATGCAATCCCTGGTATCAGGGTATGTGTTGGGGGGAACTCCTGAAAGATATTCTTGTCAAAATTTTCATTTCCAGTTTTTTTTTTAATATTTATTTATTTTTTAGTTATTGGCGGACACAACATCTTTGTTTTTGTATGTGGTGCTGGAGGATCGAACCCGAGCCGCACGCATGCCAGTCGAGCGCGCTACCGCTTGAGCCACATCCCCAGCCCTTCATTTCCAGTTTTAAGTGGATCAGATCAATCATTTTTGGAGCTTCAACACCTACTTGAAGCTAGGGGTAGGATAAGTATCTCTCTATAAGCTCTAAATACTGTTAATCTCACAGCATAGGGTAAGAAGGAACTATTTATATGGGCAGAGGGAGGACAGTGGGGTTACAGCATCTGCTAGAATGTCTGCTCTCATGTGGCCCACTTATTGGTCAGTTTGCATTCAAACAAAATAGCTCAAGTTTTGCATGAAAAGTTGTGTTTTCTTTCCTTTTTCTTCCCACCCCATTTGGAGTACCACCCTCCTTCACCCTCTATAGTGCTCACATTCCTATGTGGCACTCTGGATAAATCTAGAAAATGAGAACTATTCCTGAACCATTGTTCAGAGACCACAGAGCATATCTAAGTCAAAGTTTCCTCTTCTTCCAGATTCAGGGACTGTTCTAATCTTGACATTTTATATAGATATTATACTACTTAAAAATGTTTTCAGAGATATATACTCCCTTCAAAATTAGGGAAAGTAAGCTGAATATGATTCCTCAGACCCACAAAAATCAGTGGTCCTACAGCTACTCTGTCCTAATGATGACACCTGACAATACTCAATAAAATGAAAGTAACTGTGCCATTGTCTCATCACCCTGCCCTCTACACAGGATGTGTTATAGCACTCTGCTGCCACAAAAGAGGGCCAGGATCCTGTATGGGCTCATACAATCCAAAGCAACTTGACATGATGCTGTGCTAAAGAACTGGCTTCACCAACAAAGCTTACTCTTTAAACAAGCTAGTTCTTCTGGATTTACTTTCCTCAAACAAATCTTTCACCAGAAAAGATGCCATTAAGAAAGTCCACCTCAAAGACTACATCATTAAACTAGGAAAAATAATACATCCAGAGTGGCAGTGATATCCAATTATTTAAATAGTGACTCATAAAGTTCCACTAATCCTAACCAAAGGCACATGTGGTAAGTGATAAAAGATGGCTTAGCTTAAAATGAGGATTTTTCTTTTAAAATAAATCTTATAACATCCCCTGGCTCCTACCAAATATAAAATCAGAAAAAAATAAAACAAGCAAAAACTTTTCTTCCAAATAAGTGGTATCCCAACTTGCTTTTCAACTTGGTCACCACCAGAAAAGGAGTACAAGGCAAGGCTAGTCAAATTTGCAAGTTCTGAGTCCTAAAGATAGCACTTATGAGTGGCAAAGCTGGTGATAAGGTGGGTAGTGATGGGCAGATGGGATGTAGCAAGAGCCAGCACAGATGAAAGAACCCTTTGGTGATACAACTCAGAGACTTCTTAAGGTTGAAAGAGTAGGCTTTGATAATATACTACAATAAAGCATCCACCATCTGGAATGACTAGGAAGCAATAACTGTACACTAGCACCTGGGAAGGGAAAACCATCCTAAGTGAGACACCAAGGTTAAGCCTAAAACAAATTTTACAGGAAGAAAAAACACATGCACACACAACACACACACACACACACACACACACACACACACACACACACTCACTCACACACGCAGCTCTTGGTTGTTTGATTATGTCCAAAAAAGAAAAGAGCCACCCATTTTTAACAGGAAAAATAAACCTGATTACTTATAAACCAAATTATAAAATGAGATGTCAACAGCTTCATTTTGGAGCTTATTAGAGTCCTTGAATTTCTGACCAAAGTAGGCTCTTCTTTAAACCCAGTTATGGTTCCGCAGTGATTTGCAGGTCCTTGGGAAGGCACTGTGCTGGAGGAGAGAGCAAAGAGCTTTCTTTTTGTGCTTTTTTTTTTTTTCTTTTCTTTCTTTCTTTTTTTTTTTTTTTTTTTTTGAGGTGGAAATACTTCTTGTGACAGTCAGGGTTCTTTTCTGACTTTTTGCTGCTCATACAAGCAGTCCCATGCGAGTGACTTTGGCCGACAAGAAAGTGTGCAACACAAAAACGATCGGCTTTGGACAAGAGTGCAGGTCCACCGTCTATGGAGAAAAGACATTAATTATCATATATCATAAAGGACATTAATTATCATATATATCATTATTTCTATTAAAAAAGAATATATATTCTTTTTTCATAGAAAAAGAATAAACAAATTTAGATGTGATATTCTTGTCATTCTACTCCCCACCCATTCACTGACCCTGGCACTGGAGATTAACCCAGGGGTGCTTTGCCACCCAATTATATCCCTAGACCTTTTAAAATATATATATATATATATTTTAAGAAAGAGTGAGAGACAGTGAGAGGGAGAGAGAGAGAGAATTTTTAATATTTATTTTTTAGTATTTGGCGGACACAACATCTTTGCTGGTATGTGGTGCTGAGGATCAAACCCGGGCTGCACGCATGCCAGACGAGCGCGCTACCGCTTGAGCCACATCCCCAGCCCTTAAAATATTTTTGAGAATAGGTTCTTGCTAAATTGTCAAGGCTAGCCTTAAACTTGTGATCCTCCTCTGCCTCAGCCTCCTGAGTTGCTAGGATTACAGGTGTGCACAACCTCCGTGTCATGTTCTAGTTTTTAAAAAGAACTTAAAAGGTCTAGGGTATTGCTCAGTGATATCTGGCACATTCAAGCATGTGTGCACACACAACACACACACAAAAATAAAAGAAACTTAAAGAATGTGCCACTTTAATGGGAACTCTTGTGAACTTTTTTATTTTGAGGCAGGATATTGCTAAAATTTCCCAGGCCGGCCTTGAATTTGCAATTCTTCTTCTTCAGCTTATTGAGTAGCTAGGATTATAGGCCTGAACCACATGTCCACTTTTTATTTTTATTTTTTTAAAGTACTGGGACTGGGCACAGTGGAGCATGGCTATAATCCCAGTGACTCTGGAGGCTGGGATAGGAAGATCACAGGTTGAAGACTAGTCTTAGCAACTTAGTGAGACCTTGTCTCAAAATAAAAAATAAAAAGGGCTGGGGATGTGGCTCAAGCAGTAGTGCGCTTGCCTGGCATGCATGAGGCCCAGGTTCAATCCTTAGCACCACATACAAAAAACCCCAAAGATGTTGTGTCTGCCAATAACTAAAAAATAAATATTAAAAAATTCTCTCTCTCAAAAAAAAAAAAAGGGCTGGGGATATGGCTCAATAGTAAAGCGCCTCTGGGTTCAATCCCCAATAACCTCCCCACCTAAAAAAATGCTGGGAATTAAACCCATGGCCATGTGTGTGGTAAGCAAATGCTCTTCCACTGAGTTATAGTCTTGGGTTCATCATTTAAGATTTCCAGCCATGGTTTTTCATTTGGAAGTAGAAGCACATTATCTTTAAGATCTCTTTTAGTTCTAAAATTTCCAGATTCAATGTTTCCAAACTCACCACCTACAGTGACTGTGTCAGGGGACATAAAATTTCGTGTATGAGAAGACTTACACTACTAGCTCAATATTGACAAAAAAAGGCATTACTTTACTACTTTATCAAAATTTATGATTTCTGAAGTATACCTGACATATCTTTCTAGTAATCCCTTTAAGAGAAATCATGACTTCCTGTCCTTTAAAGCACAGAGAGATCCAGAAAGATGATAGTTGTGTGAAGAAGTTTCTTTCTTCTTTTTTTTAAGGGGGGGGGGCGGACAGGGTACAAGGGATTGAACTCAGGGGCACTTGGCCACAGAGCCTCATCCCCAACCCTATTTTGTATTCTATTTAGAGGGAGGGTCTCGCTGAGTTGTTTGGCACCTTGCTTTTGCTGAGGCTGGCTTTGAACTCGCGATCCTCCTGCCTCAGCCTCCCTAGCGACTGGCTGATATTACAGGTGTGCTCCACGCTACCATATCTGGCTGAGAAGTTTCTTTTTTTCCTGATTAGCAGGCTTCTGTAGCAACTGAGCCACTTTATTACTCAATTCTTAGGCTAGGAACGTCGTAGCTCAGTGGTAGAGCACTTACCTTCATGTTTACCTAGCATGCATGAAGTTCTGGGTTTGACCCAGCACACACACACACAACTAATAAAGGTATTACTTAGCTTTTATACCAACAAACTGACAATTACAGTAATGAATAGAATTACATATCATGACAAAGACCTCTTTCTTAAAATGGATGTTTCTTTTCTTTTTCACATTTAAACAAAACTTTTTAAAAAGAGAATGATTTTCCAATGGGAAAAGAAAACTACAAAGAGCCAAACCCAGCTTTGTAATCCCAGCAACTTAGGAGTCTGAGTCAGTAAGATCTCAAGTTAAGACCAGCCTCAGAAACTTAGCAAGATCCTGTCTCAAAATAAAAAATAAAAAAGGGCTGGGGATGTGGTTTAGTGGTTAAGTGCCCCTGGGTTCAAACCCTGGTTCCAAAAAAATACAATAAAATAAAAAATAAAAGAGCTGGGGGAAAGCACTCTGGGTTAAATCTCTAGTACCAAAAACAAACATACAAACAAAAAACCCAAACCCAATGCTATCTTGAAAACTGAAGAATAGTTTCCTGCTCCAAATGGAATGTCAGGCCATAATTTTATATATAAGAAGCATTGAGAAAGAAGGAGAAGACCTATTAGTATATACATATTTTTCATCAACATTCTTACCAGTTCTCCCTCAGGACCACCAAAATCCAAATAGAGATTTCTGATGCCATCATCAGCAGACATTTTCAGCCGTTCAAATGGGTAGCGGTATAATATGGTGCTGGAGCCTCCATTTTCCCTTGATATAGTGAACCCATTTTCATAGTGGACAGTGAATCTTACCTCTTGGCCATTTAATGTGCAGCCTGTCAAAGACCAGAAAAAGGAAAAAAAAATATTTATATATATATATGTGTGTGTGTGTGTGTGTATACACAGTCTCTTCTTTAGTTGTCAAGAAGAAAAGGATTTTCTTGACTACAAAAAGGGAGAAAGAATCTTTTCTTTCTTTCTTTCCTTCCTTCCTCCTCCCTTCCCTTCTTGGTACTAAGGATTAAACTCAGAGGTGCTTTACCACTGGGCTATATATCCCTAGACATTTTTTAAATTTTCAGACAGGGTCTTACTAAGTTGCCCATGCTGACTTTAAACTTGTAAACTTGTGATCCCACTGTCTCAGCCTCTAGAGTCTCGGAGATTACAGCACTACACCTGGTTAAGAATCTTTTCATGAAAGATGGCAAGCTTTTGCAAACTATGTAGGTATGTGTGGTCCTGAGGAAGTAAGTGGTGGACGTTATGGTGCGTGTCTGTAATCCCAGTGACTTGGGGGTCTGAGGCAGGAGAATCACAAATTCAAGGCCAGCCTCAGAAACTTAGCAAGACTCTGTATCAAAATAAAAAGTGAAAAGAGCCACAAATTCAACTCAGTGGTAAAGAACCCCTGGGTTCAATCCTTGGACAAACAACAACAACAAAAAAAGATACACTATCCATACTCTCAGACACTTCATAAAAACAAAGACATGGACTTGAAATCCCTAATGTGACTATAGAGAATGTGAGTAAACACCAAACTGAAAAAGGCCAAAGTCAAGGAAAGGTTTCCTGAAAGAGATGGGCTCCATAGAATAGATAAAAGTGGATGGGTAGAGAGAATTAAGAAGGATTCAACTAAGTGAGAAAGAGAAAAGAGCAAAGGCAGAGATGCCTTTTAGGGGCAGTAACATGATTCAGTAGGTATTTGGGAAGGAGATAATGTTTATCAAAGGGAAAGACTATGCTCAGTGAAAGTCATGCTGTCTTCTCAAAGATAAAAATCAAAGATTACATCTAAATTGACAGGACACAAAAAACTTTGATCATCAAAACTAGCAAACACCTTATATCAAGACTCCTAAGTCTATTTAATCAAAGACTGAGAAAAGATTACTAGTGTGTGGGGGCTACAAATGAGAGACTCTCTGAGACTTGGGAATTAGCACAGCTTAAACTGAACTTAAAAACATTTAAGGGGGGCTGAGTTTGTGGCTCAGAGGTAGAACACTCCCCTGGCATGTGTGGGGCACTAGGTTTGATCTTCAGCACCACATAAAAATAAAATAAAGGTATTGTGTCCACCTACACCTAAATAAGTAAATAAGCCAAAAAAATTTTAAGGATCAGAATTGATCTTTGTTTGATCACTTTAACTGAAAGAATAGCTCTTTAACAAGCAAGTCATCATACAAGTTCAATATATTCTTTCACTGGATATACAAAAACATTCAGTGAGTGAAGGAGAAAGGAGAAAGAGAAAGGAGAACAGATAAATATTGAAGGTGTTCCACTCCAAATAACTCAAAAGGTTTAGACAATGACTTTAAAATTAACCATTTGGAGAAATAATCCAATGCATTAATTTCTAAATGAATGGATGAGGGGTTTAGAGGAAGAGATAGACATCACTCAAGGCAATCAGGATATAGTCCTTTACCATCCCAAAAGCTACAGGATACTCTAGAGTATGGAGGACTAAAGAAAACAGAGAAACAGTCTTAGTTTAGGGAAAAAAAAAAAAAGCTCAAAGAAAAAAGGATCACCCAAGTCCTTGCCTTTCTGGCTGGAGAAAGTTCAGTGTAGGCATGGAATCAGATCAGATGATTACAGTTAGGGAAGGCAATCTGTTAACTCCACAACAAGGTTGTTGTACAAGAGATTTCTTACATGTTCTATTTTGAATTGTTTCTTCTCAGGAAGGAAGGAAAGAAAATGTGAGTGTGCATGTGTGTGTTACTTTAAAATATTGTTTATGATTATCCCAACCTTGAAAAGGAGAAGTAAATATTGTATTGAATATGTGTAGGACTAGATATTGGGTTTTAGTTTTAAAACTTATAATTCAGCCTGGTGTGGTGGCACACGCCTGTAATCTCAGTGGCTGGAGAGGCTGAGACAGGAGGATCCTGAGTTCAAAGCCAGCCTCAGCAAAAAGTGAGGCCCTAAGCAACTCAGTGAGACCTTGTCTTTAAATAAAATACAAAAATAGGGCTGGGGATGTGGCTCAGTGGTGGAGTGCTCCTAAGTTCAGTCCGCAGTACCAAAACCAAAAAACCTTATAATTGATACCAGATACCTTTTTTCATTGGTGCATACTAATGATCTAGAATAGTGGGTTTCATTGTGGATACCAGATACTTTTGAAGGAAGAGTATGGACTGATCATAGAAATGTTGTGCCTCATAAAATTAAACCATTTATTCCTAAATTGTAAATCAAACAGTTGAGGCAATGGTGATTTACTGCCTGACACTCCCCACCTTCACCCACTATAATGAGACAATACCTTCAATACCTATCTGCATGCTAAAGTAGGGGGTCAGGATTTGAGGCTAATTAACCAAGGACTGTGCTGTTGCAACTGGCTTATTATAATCATACTGATGTCTTAATTCAATTTATCATCCATTCCTATTTATAGGTAACTCAGTAAAAAACTCAAAATACTGATTTGTCTTAATAGAGTACCAAAAATATAAAAAGACAAACAATAGCAGCAGTTGAGGACAATTGCTGGACATCAGATATTAAAGTTTAAAGGACGTAAAAGACTACTTTTGAGATAACCAAAGGAAGGAGGTAAGCAAAACAGTATTCAGCAGTAAGTTCCTTTTGTTGAGTACAATTTGGGGTGATGTTGGTAAACAGAATTGAAGATAAGGAAAGCAACTTCATTAGCCTGGATTCAAAATAATTAGAAAATACACGTATAGACTAACAGTCCAATGGAATTGTGAATTATATCTTTACTAATTTGCACAGCCATTAATTAATTAATATTTCAACTCCTTGTTCTCACAGGGCAGAAGGGAAGACAGACTGGTAATGAAAACCAACATACAAAAGTGAAAAAGAAATTTTTTTGTGTTCTGTATTAGGTAGCACTGTGTTTGTTAGGTGCTAGGAGACATAACTGAGTAAAAGATGGCTTCTGTTCAGACAAGCAAGAAAGGAAAGTTAACATGGGCATTGTACAATGATGTAAGTGCTACAAAAGAGATGCACAAAATGCTGTGGAAGGACAGAGAGGGGAAGAGAGTACCTGGGGAATTAGAAAAGGCTTAAAGAGAGGTGTAATTCAACTAGATCTTAAAAAATAATGATGAACCACAGAGAACCAGGAATCATTCATCCAAGACCAATAATTTCCCCCCCATTTATGCAGTACTGAAAATTAAAATAGCACATCAAAATTTCCTTTTTTGCAACTCAAATTTTTTTTTTTAACCTGTCTGAGATTTTATTAGCAGGACTGTAGCAGCCAGTCACAGAAGAGAAGGGGTGGGGGAGGGAGGGAGAGGAGAGGGGAGGGGAGGGAAGGGAAGGGAAGGGAAGGGAAGGGAAAAAGAGGGGGGAGAGTAAGAGAAGTAAAGTAAGAGAGAGAGAGAGGGAGAGTAAGAGAGTAAGAGAACAACTCAAATTTTTGAAAACCAGAAAATCTAATTTATTTACTCTAATTATTACACTCTAATCAAACTACCCAATATTCTCTTCACATCTCTTCCAGTTCCTGAGTTTTATTTCATGGATTTCAGAGTTCTAAAATTCACAGGAAAACCTGAGATCTATTGATATTTCTTTGGGTCAAACAGAAAAGTAAAACTGAAGTATACTGAAATCATTTATGTACATCTTAATGGCATAGATTCTTTACACACACACACACACACACACACACACAGAAAGGGATGCAAAAGAATAAGGACATTGGCTTGGATTGTGGCTCATCGGTAGAGTGCTTGCTTAGCACATGCAAGGTCCTGGGTTTGATCCTCAACACCACATACAAATAAATAAAATGAAGGTATTGTGTCCAACTACAACTAAAAAACAAACATTTAAAAAAAGAGAATAAAGACATCAGAGAATTCATACATAAGCTATTCAAAATCACTGGTATGCAGTCCAAGCTAGAAAAGCATGCCTAAAATTACCATCATGAAGAATAAGATAAAATTTATGCCTATACTGACTCTGTGTCATAATCAGTCCCTATTGTAGCATTCTCAGAAGGATCCCATCCATGATATACTTAATAATTGCAGGTACATTTGAATGCAGGTATGCTTTGTGATTCACTCTGAATTCCCCTGAGATTGTTATCTCCTTGTTGTTCTCTTTCAAGCTGGGAAAATCTTACACCTAGGAGATATCTCCATTTTGCCACACTTTTTGTTTTTTCTGTAGATAACAATGTCCAGACTCCTTGCCGCCTAAAGTGAAAGCTACTTCTGACCTCCTACAAGATCCTCTCACTTCTGTCCTGTGATTGGGGTGGATCTTCTGGGCAGAGGGGAAGGGCATTTATCATGAGGATTCAGTCAAATTATGAAGTTGCTTTATTAGCATTTCTGAACTGACTGTATGAGAGTCCACTGAATCTTTGAGACATTTTTTTAAAAATTTTTATATCAGAAAGATTCCTGTGTCAAGGTTGGGTTAAATTTTTGCAATGGGTCCACTGGGAGGTGCGTGGAACTCTCAAAAATTTGCTCCACAGTTGCTTGAGAGGAAAAAAAAAATGTAGCCCTGAAAGAGACTAAAACCTCAAACTTCAATAGATTGTGAAACGAGCAATCAAGACAGATCATTTTAAACAAAGCTCTTCAATGAGCATTTCCCTGAAGCACATATAATCTATCTGTACTTCAAAAATCTGACTTCACATTGAAAACTTAAGTTATCAAACTAATTTCCCAAATAATGGTTTTATTGAGCTGCAATTCACATATCATACAACCAATTCACCTTTTGAAGTGTACAACCCAGGAATTTTTCGTATATTCAGAGTTGTAAATATTTTTATTTTTTTATTTTTTTTAAAGAGAGAGTGAGAGAGGAGAGAGAGAGAGAGAATTTTTTTTTAATATTTATTTTTTAGTTCTCGGTGGACACAACATCTTTGTTGGTATGTGGTGCTGAGGATCGAACCCGGGCCACACGCATGCCAGATGAGCGCGCTACCGCTTGAGCCACATCCCCAGCCCTTCATTTATTTTTAATTAAAAATTTTTTTTATTTGTAGATGGACACAATACCTTTATTCTATTTATTTTTATGTGGTGCTGAGGATTGAATCCAGTGTCTGACACATGCCAGGCAGGTACTCTACTACTGAGCCACAACCCCAACCCTTCATTTATTTTTAATTAACAAAGAAAATGTATTGGTTTTCCTTTTGGTACTGGGAATTGAACCCAGGAGCACTTTACCACTGATCTACATCCCCAGCCCTTTTTATTTATTAAATTTTGAGATACAGTCTTGTTAAGTTGCTGAGCCTGGCCTCAAACTTTGATCCTGAGCAAGTCGTGATCCTGAGTTGCTGATATTATTATTGATATATAATATATTGATATATTATTATTGATATATAATATATTGATATTATTATTGTGTGCCACTGTGTCTGGCCATATTGGTTTTCATTTAAAATCTAGAGCTGTGGTTCCCAGTCCTAATTGGGATTATTATTAAAATAATCTGTGAGATTTTTTATGCCCTAGCGAAATAAATAAGAATATATGGAGGCAGAACTTAGTCACTGATATTAATAAAAAGCTCTCTAGGTATTTCTATGGTACAATCAAGGACGGTGAATGTTGATACATAGCACGAATACTTGGTGTTAGTAATATGCTAATCCTTTTTCTTCTTCCTGGTATTATGGACTAAATCCAGAGGCTTCTACCACTGGATTACATCTATAGCCCTTTGTATTTTTTAAAGCATCTTTCTAAGTTGCCAAAGTTAGCCTTGAACTTGGGATCCTCCTGACTCAGGCTTCCCAGTTGCTGGGATTATAGGTGTGTGCCTCTGTGCCTAGTTCTTATTTATTTTTACTTCTATACTCAGTAAATATTTGCTGATCTAAAGAAGTGAGAAAGACTGAACCTGTATGTCCATTAGGTATCTAATATGGTCATAAGAACACATCATCATGAGAGGGAAATGCATGGGCTTAAAGTACTGGTCTTAGAGTCAGAAAAGACCTGTTCAAGCCCCAGTCATATTGACCCTAGTTCCTGTTAAATGAAAAGCAATTTGGGACATTTATATGTATGCATACAGTTACAGTAGTATATATGAAACAATATCCCAAATTTGTAGAGACTGATAATGAATGGCCACAAGAGGGCACTTTTACAATGGAAAAGGACAACAATTTTATTTTCTTTAAATGCTTAATTTGAGTAAGTGTTGAGCACATACTTTCAACCTTTTGAAGAGAAATTTTTATTCCAAGTTCTTTATTATTATTATTGCCAGTACTAGAGATTGAACACAGGGGAACTCTACCATGGAGTCCTTTTTGTTTAATTATTTTGGTATTGGTGATTGAACCCAGAGGTGCTTTATCACTGAGTGAAATCCCTAGCCCTATTTCTTTTTATTTAATTTTATTTTTGCACTGAGTATTAAACTCAGGGCACTGAACCACTGAGCCACATCCTCAGCCCTTTATTTATTTTTTATTTTAAATGTTGAGACGTGGTCTCAGTAAGTTGCTTAGAGCCTCGCTAAATTGCTGAGGCTGTCTTTGAACTTGTGATCTTCCTGACTTATCAGGTATCACTGTGTCTGGCTTTTATTTTTTATTTTGAAACAAGGTCTTGCTAAGTTGATTAGGGCCTTGCTGAATGGCTGAGTATGGCCTCAGACTTGAAATCCTCCTGTTTTAGCCTACTGAGTAACTGGGATTATAGGTATGTGCCACTATTCCTGGACAAATCTTTTATTTTTTTTCTATAGTCATGAGTTTGCCAGATGCTCATAGTAAGAGTGTTTATTGGTAACTTAGATTCCAAACTTCTTAACTAGAAAGTCAATGCATCTAGTACTTACTGAGTCCTTAAACTACCAAATGTGGATTAAAATGATTGGCAATATGGGGCTGGGGATGTGGCTCAAGTGGTAGCTCGCTCGCCTGGCATTCGTGTGGCCAGGGTTTGATCCTCAGCACCACATACAAACAAAGATGCTGTGTCCACCGAAAACTAAAAAAAATAAATATTAAAATTCTTTAAAAAAAATAAAATAAATAAAATGATTGGCAATAAAAATGTCATTTAAACACAGGGTGTAACAAATGTGCTTAAAGCCGTATGCCAGGTCTCGAAAAACTGCTTGTGATACACAGACACCAGGTTTCTTTCTAATCATCTCCAGTTTTAACTGCCACATTTTAGTACATCATATAGTTTGGCACATATGACAATAGTTGTACTTTAAAATGAAGCCTAACAGTTCCATTTAGTTACTATTAGAAACAAAATATCAGTATCCTGCTGGGCGAAGTGGTGTACCTCTGAAATCCCAGAGGCCCAGGAGGCTGAGGCAGGAGGATCATGAGTTCAAAGCCAGCCTCCAAAACTTAGTGAGGACCTAAGCAACTCAGTGAGACCCTGTCTCTAAATAAAAATACAAAAAGGGCTGGGGATGTGGCTCAGTGGTTAAGTGTCAGTATCATACTGGGTATAGTGGCATATGCAAGGCTAATCTCTGCAATTTAGTGAGTCTCTGTCTCAAAATAAAAAATAAAAAATACTGGGGATGTAGTTCAGTGGTAGAGCAACTCTTGGTTCGATACTGGTAAAAAAAAAATTTTTTAAAAGACAAAAACCAAAAAAGTCAGCATCTCTACCTAAAGAGATTTCCTTGATCAGTTCAGCGGCAGCATGGCAACCCTGAACCAGTATCCTGGTCCAAGTGGAAAGATCCCGATGTGTCTCCACCCTGAAGAGATGCATCTCAATGCCCTGCCGAGAGCCTGTCCTGGTGGCAAATGTAAGGTCAGATCCAAGGGAAGGTGATCGACATCCAGAGCCAGAATGAACCAACCTAGGACCAAAATGGAGCAGAGATCAAAACTAATTAGTGCATTATAGAAAGAATGTCAGGGATTTATGCTCATTGATAAACAGAAATTTATAAAAGCCAGCAACAGTTTTCTAATAAGTATATTTCAAAGCAAGATAGTAGATACTATTTCCATTTTCTCCTAAAATGACCCCTAATGATTGACATCTGAAGACAAGATACTGTCTTTCATAAAGAAAACACCACAGTGGCACATGCCTAAATCCTAGTGAAGTGGGAGGCTAAAGCAGGAGGATTACCTGTTCAAGGCCAGCCTCAGCAATTTAGCAAGGCAAGGCCCTAAGCAACCTAGTGAGACCCAGTTTTAAAATAAAAAATAAGAAGTTCTGGGGATGTGGCTCAGTGGTAAAATACCCCTGGGTTCAATCCCTAGTGCCTGCCCCCACAAAAGGAACTATGTATAAACAGAAGAATGAATAAAGAAAAATTCTATGCTCTATTCTAAACAGTGGAATATTATTCAGCTTAAATATTATTCAGTGAAATCTGCCACCTGGATGAACTTCAAGACATTATGTTAAATGAAATGAGTGAGTCACAAAAAGACAAATACTACACCATTTTATTTATATGAGGTATCCAAAGTAATTCCAGAATTCTAATTTTTTTTGAAAGCTAGAATGTTCTCATTGGCAACAAATATTATCACTATTTTTCATGACAGTCTCATTTTGGTCATTTTAGAATAAGTGTATGACAAATACCCAAGCCTGACTAACCATAGTATGGCAGTTAGTAGGTCTTTCAATTAAAAAATGGTGATCCATAAGGAAAACATCAAGTTCAGCTCACTACTCAATCATACATGTGCTTTTCCTTGAGACAATAGCAGATCATACTTCAATATGAATCAGAAGTGTTCTCTGGGGCCAGATGTGGGTGACAAGGGTATCCTACATATTTAATTTGATTGGATATCCCAAGTCAGACATTATAAAATAGTTTAGGAGAATTTTTTTTCCTACAGATTTGATTATGAAATATTTTGGGCAGGAAATCTAATTCAAACCAGATGCTGGACTCTCATTGAGCAGAGTTGGTTAGGATACATTGCCAAAAGGCCCCTCTTTGGGGGAGGCCAGATGAGCTCATGCAAAGGCATTTTAGCAGTCTTTGCTTCATACTAGCATGTGCACACACTAACTCAATTTTCTACACTGTAAAATATTTTTTAAAATTTTTTTTAGTTGTAGTTGGACACAATACCTTTATTTTATTTATTTATTTTTATGTGGTGCTGAGGATCGAACCCAGTGCCTCCTCGCATGTGCTAGGCAAGTACTCTACCGCTGAGCCAGAACCCCAGCCCCTACACTGTAAAATATTCACTTTCTTTGAGCACTTTTTCTGTTCCAGTCAAAGAAAGCTTATAGGAAAATTTACAAAATCCACAGCACTTATGAAACTAATATAGTTTTCCACCTGCATCATATACCTGTTTTTAACCTCTTCGATACTTTTTTTAAATGGGCCCACTATTCTGACCTCCCAACATGCTTTCACTTTTTAAAAAAAATATTTATTTCTAGTTGTAGTTGGACACAATACCTTTTATTTATTTATTTATTTATTTATTTGGTGCTGAGGATCAAACCCAGGGCCTTGCACATGCTAGGTGAGTGCTCTACCACTGAGCTACAACCCCAGCCCAAACCTCTTCAAATTTTAATTAAAAAAAAAAAGTTTTCCCTGGTATGGTGGTGCACACTTATAATCCCACTGACTCAGGAGGCCATGGCAGCACCACATTCTAATTTAGCAAATTTTTATCATCCCCAAAAGAAATCTTATGCATATTCCCACCTTAACCCTTGTAACCACTAATATGCTGTCTTCATAGATTTGCATATTCTGAATATTTCATATAAATGTAATGATATAATATGTGGTACTTTATATTTCAAAGTTCATACATGTTATAGCATATATCAGAACTTTTAAAATTATGAAACAATATTCTGTTACATATATATCACTTTTTTTCACGTTGTTTATCCAACAAAGTTTTTAGATAAACTACCATTTATCATCAGTTGACAGACATTTGGGGTGTTTCCATTTTGGGGTTATTGTGAATTATACTGCTATGAATATTGGGTATAATTTTCTATGTGGACGTAAGTTTTCATTTCTCTTGGGTATATAATGTAAGAGTGGAATTACTGGGTGACTCAGGCTGGAGATATAGCTCAGTGGAGAGTACTTTCCTAGCATGTGTACAAGGCCACAGGCACCACAAAAAAAGGGAAAAAAATGTTAAGCCTAAAGTTACCTTCTTTGTTTTATCAGAATTAGAATACAGGACTCTTCCACACAGTCATAGTCACAAGTTCTAAATCTCTAGAAAATATGAACTTAAATGCTCTAATTATAACTACTGAAATATATCCATATATTTTTTGTAGGATTCCTGTCATGTTCTCAAAGTAACTGTAAAACAATAACTACAATTTAAGCAGGAGAACTTAGATTTATTGGTAACTTTTTATATACAAAGCATCCTAGGACGTCCTAAAATAACACAGCAATAGTTCTTCACTTCAATGAGATTATAATTTAGTTTGCATAAATAAACTGCAAAGAAACTGATGGTTAAATTCAATCTTCTGCAGGTCTCTTCTTTCCTGAAGAAATTAAGAAAAACATCCCTCTAATTCTGAGGCTCAAAAGATCCTTTATCTATTCTGCAATCTATGAGTTCCAGCTCTAAATTACAGAGGATACTCCTAGAAAGCTACATGAGAATATTTTTATAAAAAGAACAATACATGTAAAAGAATTTGGCAAGTTGAAGGAGATTCTATATAAAGTACAAGTCTTTTAATGTAAAGAATACTCTTTCTTACATGGATCTTTATCTGTTCAAATCAGGAAATCCTTTGTTCCCTATGGATATTATACCAGACAGTTCTGTCATTTTGCTCTTTCAATATTAGTTTTCTGTGGGGCTCTTTGTGTAGTTATTTCAACACGTGATTCTTTTTTTCCCCCCCTTCTTTTCTTGGCAGTGCTGGGGATTGAACCCAGGGCCTCACCACAAGGCTAAGCAAACAATTTACTTTACTACTGAGTTGCATCCCCAGTTTAACATCTGATTCCTTTTTAAACCCAAGTAAAATTGAATTTGAATGTTTTCTTGTTTTACAGTTATATACTTTAAGACATTCTGCCCTCCAAATCTAAATTTCTTTATTCCTATTCTCTTCCAACTCCCCATGTATGGTATGCTGAAAATATTCTGTTGCTTTAGGTCAAAACAATGTTTATTTGATGGAATCAAAATTATATGTTCTTATATTAAAAAGAGAAGTGAAAATATTTTGGCTAAATTTTGTGGTTTATCCATGATACCACATTTGGTTTTAAATGATTTGATCACCCAGTCAAAAGGCTGCTACAATTTCAGTGGTTTTCTACTCAGTCAATAAAATAAAGAAAAAACCCTATTATCTCTGTGACTAAGCAAATTTTGAAGGGAGTGGTTAGGAAGTTGCTTCAACAATTTAAAAGATGCAAAGAAAAATAAAAGTGACAGGAACAATTTATTCAGAGCTAGGAGATGCAAAATGATAAATAAATTATACATTTTTTTGTCTACATCAACTATCTCACATACTTAAATACTATTTTAGGCACCTAAGATAACAGAACACACATAAAATTTGTTAATAGATTTAGAATAGAATTTCTTTTATTTATTTATTTTTGGTCTTTAGTCTTACCTTGTAGCAACAAGAGGGTAGCTATGGCATGGAGATGCCCAGGCATCTCTTGTCCATGGCATGCAATCATAAAGCAGCAAGTCCTTCTCAGTCACAGCCATGAGGACAGGTCTCCATTGTTGTCTCCCACCATCTAGCTTTGCCTGTTACAATGGTGAAATCTAGAATCAGATCTAATAATGTCTTTGTATTTCATCATTTCTTCAGTGATGTACTAACACAGTGGGTCTCCATTTTGTTTCCCTCTCCTAAAAGACCTGAGATATAGAAAACAATCTATCAGGTTCCTTCCCACTGGTAGGGATTTTCCACCGGGAAGTGTGGATGGTACATATATTTGAAAAAGTTCCCCGTAGCAAGTTACAGACGATCTAGTGATATGATATAGTTTTCCCCATTCCATAATAATTGATATTAATTATAATTAAAGACATAGTAATTTTTTCAAAATGAAACAGTTTTAGTATATCTGATGTTTGAATGACATCTAAGCACAGGACAGAAACTCCTGCTACCTATTTCACTAGTAGGCTAGAAAATCTTCCTTCTAAATAAGTATACATAATCTAAATACCAACATTTTCAGATGCTTTTGATTAAGACATGCAGTAAGAAATAAATTTTACATTGCAATCCAATACACACATACAATATAAGTAAATTATCTATTTTCCAATATATTTTGGAATATATTCTGAAATAACACTGTATTTTGTGCAATGAACTCTGATAATTTCTTTTATTTTTTAAAAAATACTGATAATGTACATATATGAAAATACCACAATAAATCCCACCATTGTATATATCCACAAGAATAGGATCCTAATTAGAATAAGATATGTTTCATGCTTACATAATTATATCAAAATGGATTCTACTGTCATGTATAACTAAAAAGAACTAAATACAAAAAATACTGATCATGATCTACTATGTTGTATTTTGGAAAACACTGATATAAGAGTTCTTTATTATATTTTCAGAAGCATATTTTTCAAAGTGGTACCACTTCATTTGCCTGTATAAAGCTTTTATTATCTATGCAAGGGTCTAAAAATGTAGGAAAAATATGGGTGTGGTAGCACATTCTTGTAATCCCAGGGACTTGGGAGACAGAAGTAGGAGGATCACAAATTCAAGGCCAACCTCAGGAAGACACTCTCAAAACAAAAAATAAAAAGGGCTGGGAATATAGCTCAGTGAAGAGCATCCCTGGGTTCAATCCCCAGTACTGTGGGGAGGGGGGGCTGGAAGAATAGGAAAACAACTGCGTATGTATATTGTCAAGGATCTACTGGGGGAAAAAAAAAGCAAAAGATTATGTTCAAGAAAAGCCCTGTTAGCTGGGCATAGTGGTATATGCCTGTAATCCCAGCAATTTGGGAGGCTGAGGTAGGCAGCATTAAGTTCCAAGTCAGCCTCAGCAATTTAATGAAGCCCAAAGGAACTCAGCAACACTCTGTCTCAAAATAAAAAATAAAAAGGGCTGGGGATGCAGCCCAATAGTAAAGCACCCCTGGGTTCAATCCTCATTAGCAGGTGCGCCCTCCCGACCCCTGTCCCGCAAAAAAGAGAAAAGCCCTGTCACCATCAACCCTTTTGGCCCTCCTGAGATGAGACCTCTGATCAGGAACTGCTTAACTAAACTGTATTTTAACACAGATTCTTTAGCTCACCATCACTGCCTATTTCAAAGAGATTTCAAGTTGATGAATCACTTGTCTCTTAAAGAGTTGTCTTCAGAGCCACTTTTCAATTTCTTTTTCTAAAAGACTTCTGAAGGTAACCTGGACATCTCTTTTTTTTTTCAAATAATCTTTTAAGTTGTTGATAGACCTTTAATTAATTAATTAATTAATTTATTTATTTATTTATTTTAAAGGGAGAGAGAGAGAGAGAGAGAGAGAGAGAGAGAGAGAGAATTTTTTTTAAAGAGAGAGTGAGAGAGAATTTTTTTTAAAGAGAGAGTGAGAGAGGAGAGAGAGAGAGAGAATTTTTTTTAAAGAGAGTGAGAGAGGAGAGAGAGAGAGAGAGAGCGCGCATTTTTAATATTTATTTTTTAGTTCTTGGCGGACACAACATCTTTGTTGGTATGTGGTGCTGAGGGTCGAACCCAGGCCGCACGCATGCCAGACGAGCGCGATACCGCTTGAGCCACATCCCCAGCCCCTATTTTATTTATTTTTATGTGGTGCTGAGAATCAAACCCAATGCCTCCCACATGCTAGGCAAGTGAGCTACCACTGAGCCATAGCCCCAGTCCCTGGCAGAACATCTTAAGGATACATTTATAATCCTCAAGTGGCCTGAGTGGTTTGATTCTATGATTTTGTTTTGGTTTTGGCACTCGGTATTGAACCCAGGAGTACATTACCACTGAGCTACATCCCCATGCCCTTTAATTTGTTTTTTTGCTACTAGGAATGAACCTAAGGGTGCTTAATCACTGAGCAATATCCCCAGCCCTTTATATATATATATATATATGTGTGTGTGTGTATGTGTGTGTGTGTGTGTGTGTGTATGTATGTGTTTCATTGAGTTGCTGAGGGCCTTGCTAAGTTGCTGAGGTTGGCCTTGAACTCATGATCCTCTTGCCTCAGCCTCCCAAACCACTGGGATTATAGACATTTGCTACCATGGCTGGCAGATACTTACATTTTTAGACTGGATCATGATATCAACACTTCAAAGGGATTTCTATGTTATGTTCACTATTAAATCTTGTCTCCAAGACTGCTATGGACAATATTTTAATAGGGAAAAATAACATAAATTTATCTTATCAAAGTGTTAACAATCTGCTTTTTTTTTTCTCTTTCCACAGTTTTTTATTGGAAATACTCTGATTTTAAAATGCACTTTTCTGGGCCAGGGTTGTAGCTCAGTGATAGAGTGCTTGCCTAGCATGTGTGAGGTATTGGGTTTGATTCTCAGCACTGCATACAAATAAAAAAAAGAATTCACTTTTTCCCCAAGTTACAAGAGACTTTGAAGGCTAAACCAGAGTATTGCATTTGGAAAACCTAAATCAAATTTATTTATTTTTTCCCAATAAAGGTATTTTGAGATCTAAAGGAAAAATGCTAATATCAAGCTTAACTAATAATTTTTTAAAACTGTTTATTCCTTAGCACTTTTAAGTCCTTAAATTATAGATATATGTTTCCCTCTTCTATTCACCACTGGAGAAAAATGAAATCTCAATTTTTTAAAAAATATTTTTTTAGTTGTTGATGGACCTTTCTTTTATTTAGTTATGTGTGGTGCTGAGAATCGAACCCAGTGCCTCATACATGCTAGGCAAGCACTCTACCACAACCCCAGCCCTGAAATCTCAATTTTAATCATTCTGTTCGACTATGTGCCTTAACTTTTAAGGATACTGTTTGTTTTCAGTGGAGTAAAAAATACTGCCTATTATATATAGTGTATCTTTTGGGTTGTGGTATCAGCACAAGCAGCCTCCATTACTGTGAGGTTTTGGCTAGAGTAAAAAAGGATACTAATATTAGGGTTTCGATTTGTTTGTGTTTCAGCACCCAAACATACATACATTTGGCAGAACAACTATCTTTTCCAAATTTTATTTTTCTAATAAATAGAGATGGATTGCACTAAAGATAAAAAATACTAATAGCTATTATTCATTCTCTAAATCCCTTAATCCTATAAATATTTCTTTGTGAAAGGTGATATACTTTTGTTCTTTATTACAGTAGAAAACAGAACAAAAACTAAATAAACCATTCCACTAATCCTGATTTAGTGTATATGTTCCTAATTTGAATCTTTGTACAATTTGCCATTTATCATGAACAAAGGAGGAACTGTTAAAGCTTTTCTTTGATTGACTTGGATTTTCTTATCTGTACCAAAGTGCTGCTAGGGCCAGTGGTACACACTTATAATCCCAGTGACTCTGGAGTCTGAGGCAGGAGGATCACAAGTTCAAGACCTGTCTCAGGAACTTAGCAATGCCCTAAGCAACTTTTTTGCAAGACTATATTTCAAAATAAAAGATAAAAATGGTTGGGGATGTGGCTCAGTAATTAAAGCCCTGGGTACCAACCCCCAGTACCCCAAACCCAAACCAAACCAAACCACCAAAGTGCTTTAAAAAAAAAAAAAACTAATTATATGGGTAATACATGACTTCCCTTTGGTGAACTGAAAGAAAATTCTCTTTTAAGAACATTACCAGACTGCAAAAACAGACAACAAAAGCAAAAGTATGGGAGTGAATCAAATAATCTTCTGCACAGCACCCTAAACAACAGATTAAAAAAAAACACAGATTGATAGAAAATATTTGCCAATCATTTATCAGATAAATATACAAGAAATATATAAGAAACTCAAACTACTCATTAAAAACAAAATAACTCTATTAAAAAATGGGCAAAGCTAGGGGTTTAGTTCAGCAGTAGAACATTTGCCTGGCATGTGTGAGGTTTTGGGTTCAAACTCCCACACCATATACATACACACAAAGGTAAAGACTTGACCAGCCATTTTTCAAACCAAGACATATAAATGGTTGACAATTATATGTGAAAAAATGCTCAACATCTCTAAGCAACAGGGAAATGCAAATTAAAACCACTATGACATATCACATCTGTTAAATTGTGTATTATCAAAAGGATGAAAGTAAGCACTGGCAAGGAAGTGAAGAAAAGGGAACCCTTATACACTATTGATGGGAATGTAAATTAGTATCGCCATTATGAAAAACAACATGGAGGTTCTTCAAAACTAAAAGTAAGGTAGACATGGTGGAGCACACCTGCAATCCCAGCAGCTCAGGAGGCTTGAGGCAGGAGGACAGTGAGTTCAGACAGCCTCAGCTAATTAGCATATCTCAAAATAAAAAGGGCTGAAGATGTTAAGTTCCCCTAGGTTCAATCCCTAGTACCAACAAACAAACAAACAAAAACCACAACAAAAAACTAAAAATAGAAGTACCATTTCTGGGTATTTACCCCAAAGATTTGAAATCAGTCTGCACTCCCACATGTATTGCCATATTATTCATAAAAGCCAAGACACAGAATCAACCTATGTGTCTATCAATGATGAATAAATAAAGAAAATATGGTACATATACACAATAGAATACTATTCAGCCCTAAGAAGGAAATTGTCATTTGCAACAACATGGATAAACCTGGAGGACATGATCTCTAAAAATATACCAGGCACAGAGAAAATATTGTATAATCTCACTTATATGCAGAATCTTAAAAAGTTGATTTCACTAGAAATAAAGACTAGAATAGGGGCTGGGGATGTGGCTCAAGCGGTAGCGCGCTCGCCTGG